TCAGTAACTGTGAATAAAAGGTCAGCTTTACTACCATACTTCTTTTTTATATAATTATAATGGAAATCATACATTAGTGTCCTTGATAGATCAAGAATACACATTGCTACATACGCAGGCCGGTCAAGGGTAAGTGTTTCGTTAGTCTTATGGACTGCAACAAGATTTTCATTAAAGATTTTACTATTGACATGAGTTGGTTTAACAGCTAATTTGGATAATTTTTGTTCATCAGTTACAAGTCTAACATCAAGATGCTTTCTGATATTTTCCATTGTTTTACCAAAACACTACTTTTCATAAGCTTAAAAAAGTCTTTCTCAAATTAATTTTTTGCATTGGTTCTTTTTTGAGTGTTGAAATCAATGTACTGCTTTAACCATGGGGACTGGTTAAATTCCAATACGCGGTGAACTTTTTTTAGTTTTAATCCTAGACTCAGATACAACTGCAAATTTCTGTAGTGACGGACATACTTTTCTATATTACTCAATGTGGGTATTAGTTTTTGCACCTGACCAATAGTAATGCCATATTTCTCTCTTATATTTTCACAATAATTTAACAGCATATCTTTATTGAATCTTATTTTTTTCAGCAGCAAGAGGATAATCATTATGTTTTTTATGCAGCTTGCTTGGAGTTTCAAGATCAGCTTCCAGGATTAAACCCTTTTTGGTATCTTCGGTATATGCACCAAGATTTGTTTTTTTGTTTGTTTTTTTCTTAATACTCATCCATTTAAAACCACCTGTTGGAAGATATTGACTCATTGCCCATCCATAACGATTATTGGCGTCGAGGTACATGATATACTTTGATGGTTTGCCTTTATCATAATTAGTCATGTATTTATTATTAGCTTGCCCATATCGGTTAGCGATATATGAAATACCACCCCTCATTCCTTTTTCAATGTATTGAAATATATCAATATCTGTCATCAGGTCCAGTTTGATATTAGTGATCTTTAACATTGCCTCCCACGATAGTCCTCGAGATGTAAAATAATGAAATGGGTCAAGCTTGTAATATAATAAACAGGTCTTTCTAAAGTTTTCAAATGCATCTGCTAACAGAAGGATATCAGATTTTAGATACAGATCATGGTATTCACCCATTTTGAGCGTGGGAATAGCTTTTATTAGTGATACCTTCATCTGTTAGGATGCTGTAAAAATCTTCTTTTGATGGTAGTTGTGTATCATTGAATTTATCCACACTGCTCATGTAATCATAAGGATAAACGCCTTTTTATTTCATTAATTTAAATTGTTCATCTTTGAATACCTCCACAGTATATTTAAAAGCATCATTTGGAAGTTTGTCAGCAAGCTTTTCTAGACTTGAGCTCATGAATTGGAAAATATCAAGAAACACGAGATGTTTTCCCAGCATGAAAGCCATATATTTCTCCATGTTATTTGGAATAACATTGATATCCATTTGCTGCTCTTCACCCCTTTTGTTAATAAAAGAAGGTATATTTTTTAGCTATAGTACCAATCTTTTGCATAATAAAGTGGCTACCATAACCTCTCAAA